TTATATTTACTTTTAATTATAACTTTTTATTATCTGTAGCCATGGCTTACATGCACTACAACGGTGTCGCGCATCTGGACTGTCATATAAACAACATAATGGTGTTCAGCGCACCGGGCGGTCAGTTTACAGTGAAATACATCGACTTCGGTCTGAGCCTGTCGTGTCCGCTATACGCCAAGCTGGGCGTACAGGTGTGGGGCAGTGAATGGCGCAAAATGGCCAAGATGGAAATGTCGGATCTGGTCCATGTGTTGCATTACATGCTGGACAAGTGCCGTAGGAGTCGGTTGAATACCGGCGCCGACCTGAGTCAGGTGAGGGCTGTGGCCCGCGAGATGTTGACCACAAAGGAGCACATGTTTGATGTGATCAAGAAATATACATTTTAGGCTATTTTATATTTGTTGCAGTGTTTTATGAATAAAATTTTGAATCTCTATTTATGTATAAAAATAATTTTAAAAAAAATTTTATTTAACAATCATTATAAATTAAAAATTGTCTAAATATTAAATTGATATAATTAAAATTCAAACAATCAGTGTTCAACCACTAGTCAAACCACACAGACATGTCCGACACATATGGGAATCAACCGCAGACACCACTTAGCGTTGCCAGATATACAGGAATGACCTGTATTATACAGGAATTAAGGAATATTGCAGAGTACAGGGAGGTGTCATTCCTGTACATTGACAAATACAGGAATAAATATTTTAACAAAAAACTATTGAATATAAAAGTATAAAAGTATAATAATATTCAAATTTGTAAATAATAATAGTCCTGCACACTCACAATCTGAACTAATGCTAGAAATTAATTAAACATAATTAACTACATTGTAAATACATATAAACTAAATATAAATACATTGTATAAGCACTCGAATTTTCGCAAGTATAATTCTTTGAAAATTGTATGAATTTAAAGTTTTGCTTTACAAACAATAAAATACATGAAAATACAGGAATTTTTGGTAAAATTTGCACAATTATACAGGAAATCCAAAATATTTTCTGGCAACGCTAACACCACTGCCCGGCGCCGGGCGATGGGTGCAGACGTCTCAGCACACGGGCGCTGTTGTCGCAAATCCAACAAGTATTTGGCTGCCGCCCACATCGACCACTCCGTCCACATCTGCTGGACATCCCGGTGTCGGTCAGCAGTTATTTTCCTACAACAGTCCCAGTATTGGTTCGGCTCAACCATCGCCCTCTCCCGAAGCTCTCCCGAATACTTAATTTTTATTAATTACATACACTTTCAATAAGTTTACGGAAACTTTCATTGAAAATATCTTTCAATTAATAAAAATATACTTAATTTTTAATAATTACAATCGCTTTCAAGAACTATACAGAAACTTTCATTAAAAATATATTTCAAACTATTAAAATACATAAAATTGTAATAAATTATAATGGTTTTAAGAACTTTACAAAAGTTTTAATTAAATAAATGTCATAATTTTATTAAAACTATACAAATTATTGTTATTTTAAAAGTAATCTTGCTTAAATGCAAGTATTTTTTATTAACAATCATGTTTATAAAATTAAATTGTTTGCAATAATTAAAAAAAAAAGTTAAAAAATATATATTCAATAAGTGGTTAACACAAAAAACATCAGTCAATCACAAGACATGTCCGACAGGAATGTGAATGAATGGGAGGGAAGAGCGCAACCAACAGGTGCCGGGCCTCCGACCCCATCGAGTCCCGGCCAATGGCGACAGTTATCGCACACACCGGGTGTTAGTGTGCGTCAATCAACTAGTGATTGGCTGCCGCCCACACCTACCACACCGACATCAACGCCGTCACAGAGTACCAGGGCGTTGGATAGACAGCCCGGTTCCGCTGCCCGACAGCTATTTACCGACACCCGACCCCAAATGGCCAGCACTTCAGTGGCTCAGCAATCATTGCCCACATTGACCGCATCGCTCACACCAGTGACTTCAGTGCCCGGTCCAGGCTATCCAGAACCGACCGGTCGCACCCCTACCGGCTATATTCTGCGCCCGATGGGTCGCCTACAAGACATGTACGAAGAGGTGTCCGCCGACGGCCACCCGCGGGTTAGCACACAGTCCGGTGACATGAATGTGAGCAGTGCTCGGGAGACAAGAGGCGGGGGTTGGCTGAGTCNACGGCCACCCGCGGGTTAGCACACAGTCCGGTGACATGAATGTGAGCAGTGCTCGGGAGACAAGAGGCGGGGGTTGGCTGAGTCGACTGTTGCCCCGTACGGCTGAGGGCCGGCTAAATGACAAAACAGTCAGAGATTTGGCTAAACTACGGGCGTTGGGCTTTGATGTGCACAAATTTGAGCATGGTGAGAAAGCAGGAGAGGGCGCCTATAGCAAGGTGTTTATGGGCGCCTATACGGGACAGGTATGTGCTCATTATTATTTGTAGCAAGCTTAGTTTTGATTAATAATTGTTTGTTTAATGTTAGATTGGAAGCACAGCCGCCACCCGGAGCCGATACCTGGCGGGGGTAAAGTCGGGAGAGATATTTGCCGCCAAGTATGTACAGTTGGCACACGACGCCCAACCCCTCGACCACTTGTGCCACATCGTCGAGAAGGGTATTATCAAAACTCTCAAACATCCAAACATTGTGTCCTTCAGAGTGAACATCAATTTAGGTCAACGAGTGATACTCCGGCCGTTGGTGTCGGCCTACCAATTGCCAGATATTGTCTCCTATAGGCGCATGTTTTTGATCATGGAGTACGGCGACCAGGGTAGTTTGGATGCGTTTACCAATAATGGTAAACTCAACGATCAGTTAACGGTGCAATTCACTGGCGAGTTGTGCTCAGGTATGTGTGCATTATTTGCGTAGAATTTAAATTATGTAACTTATTAATGTATTTAATATTTAATACTTTTAATTAACTATTTATTACGTGTAGCCATGGCTTACATGCACTACAACGGTGTCGCGCATCTGGACTGTCATGTAAACAACATAATGGTGTTCAGCGCACCGGGCGGTCAGTTTACAGTGAAATACATCGACTTCGGTCTGAGCCTGTCGTGTCCGCTATACGCCAAGTTGGGCGTACAGGTGTGGGGCAGTGAGTGGCGCAAAATGGCCAAGATGGACATGTCGGACCTAGTTCATGTGTTGCATTACATGCTGGACAAGTGCCGTAGGAATCGGTTGAATACCGGCGCCGACCTGAGTCAGGTGAGGGCTGTGGCCCGCGAGCTGTTGAACACAAAGAAGCACATGTTTGATGTGATCAAGAGTTATACATTTTAGGCTATTTTATATTCATTGTAGTGTATTATGAATAAAATTTTTAACTACTATTTATGTACTGTATAAAGAATGTGGTTTATAAAATGTTACCTCTAAATCACAAATTTAATTAAAATAAAAAAAAATTATTTAAAATAAATAAAATATAATTATGTAAAATAATCAAAATAAAATGTTGTATTAACAATTATAATAAATTAAAATTTTTAAAAATAATTAAATGCATAAAATTAATTCAAAACAATCAGTGTTTAAACACTAGTCAAACCACATAGATATGTCCGACACACATGGGAATCAACCGCAGAGACCATTGTCCGGCACCGGGCGATGGGTGCAGACATCTCAACACACGGGCGTTGTCACTACACAACCAACAAGCGCTTGGCTGCCGCCCACACCTACCACTCCGTCTACATCTGCGAGACATCCCGGTGTCGGTCAGCAGTTATTTTTCTACAACAGTCCCAGTGCTGTTTTGGCTCAACCATCGCCCCCTCCCGGAGCTCAAACACCCGCCAGCGCTGTCACACCGACAAGTTTGCCATCTGATAGGCACCCGAGTTGGACAGGCAGTGAATCAGACACAAGTACTACACCATCGCTCCCACCCTACCGACGACCACGAAGGGTGGCCTTACCCGGCGGTGTCGCACCGGTCATGACAGGGCAACACCCGGTACCTGTATGGGCGCCCGCTACCCACTACTTACCGCCAATCAATCGTCTCGATCGCCTGTACGATATGGCGCCCCGAGGCTATGAGCCAACCCATGCTTTCCCGGATCAGAGCCAATCCGGTGAAGTGCACGTCAGTAGCGGCGGTGAGTACAGCGGTTGGTTGGGAGGTCTGGTGCCCACCCGTACCGGTTACGCAGCGTTGAGGGTTAAGACTGAGCGCGATGTGGCCAAAGTACGTGAGTTGGGCTTTGATATTCATGTTGGCACAGGTAGGGAGATTGGCGAGGGAATGTTTAGCCAGGTATTTTCCGGCACTTACACCGCACAGGTATGTACTTTATAATAAAATACATGTCAACGTACATTGTATTTAATGCTAATTATTTATCATTATAACAGATAAGCGAATTTCAAAGCACTAGACAGGGCAGGCGCCTGACCCATGTACAGACCGGGCAAAAGTTTGCCGCGAAATACGCTCAGTTGGCTAGCGATGTCAATCCACTTGAGTACATGTGCCATATCATCGAGAAGGCTGTGATGAAAACGCTGAGCCATCCAAACATTATGGCCTACAGAGTGGTCATTAATATTGGCCACCGAGTGATACTTCGCAATCTAGCGGGCAATCAATCGCCCGATTACTTGGGCTATAGGCGGGTCTTTTTGATCATGGACTTTGCCGACCATGGCCATTTGCTCTACTTTGTCGACCAACACCGTAAACTCACCGATCAATTAACGGTTAGATTCACCGGCGAGTTGGGCTCAGGTATGTGTTACACTCAAAAACTTTAATTATAAACATTTAATAGTTTTAAAAATTAATTTTACATGTAATATTAATTATATAATTATTTGTTGAGTAGCTTTGGGTTATATGCACGCCAATGGTGTGGCGCACAGCGACTTGCACTACAAAAACATACTGGTGTTTAGCGCACCGGGCGGTCAGTATACGGCCAAATTGACCGACTTTGGTCTGAGCGTATCGCCCGCCATATACGGCCAATTGGGCGTAAATGTGCCCCAAAGTGAGTTCAATCAGAAAATGAGGGGCGATCTAATCGAGTTGAGGTCTGTTGTGGATTTCATGGCATTCAATTGCCGCAACAATCGGGGTAATGTGGGCGCCGACTTGAGCCAGGTGGAAAGTCTCTCAAACGAGTTGTTCACAATGCAGGAGCCGTTGTTGGATGCGCTCAAAAGGTATACGCATTTGAGCCCATATTGCATCTAAGAGTGTGCTATGTATTGAATACATATGTATTATCTAGTTATTTTAGTATTAGAGAAAAAATAGTAAAGTAAACAATAAAACAACATTTTTACATTGTTTATTTATCAATTGTATTAATTTATAAAACAAAACAAATCCAGAAAAATTACTAAAACAAAAAATATAAACTTATAATAAACTTTATTAACACAAAAAACAGATAATCGCTAGACATGTCCGGCCAATGGTCACACATATCTCATACACCGGGTGTTAGTGATCATGATCTAAAGTGTAGTCATTGTATATTTCTGGAGCACATCCCAGGGCGGTTGCCGGGCGTCAGACAACTCATTGACCAAGTCGTCGAGATGTGTCAAATCGATGCCATCGTTCATATAATTGTTGCTACACTTGTTTGTCATGTAATAAGTGATCTGGGCCAGTTTCTTGAAATTATCACGAGCCATATAATATAGATCTTGAGAAGAAATCCCAATTGGCCGTACACTGACCATGATACACTCTGGCCAAAGTCAATTTATTTGGCAAATTTGGGAAACTAAACAGGTTTGAGTGTATATTTATTAAGAAATGTTTGGGATGTAATGCTAAATACTCAACGTAAAAATTTCAATTAACAATCACAATCAATTTAAAATTTTCAAAATAATTAAATGTATCAAATTAATCAATACAATTAGTGCTTAAACACTAGTCAAACACACAGACATGTCTGACTCATATGGGAATCAACCGCAGACACCACTGCCCGGCACCGGGCGATGGATGCAGACATCTCAACACACAGGCGTTGTCACTACACAACCAACAATAGCTTGGCTGCCGCCCACACCGACCACTCCGTCCACATCTGCGGGACATCCCGGTGTCGGTCGTCAGCTATTTTCCTACACCAGTCCCAGTATTGGTTCAACTCCTCCCGGAGCTCAAACATCCGCCAGCGCTGTCACACCAACAAGTTTGCCATCTAATAGGCGCCCGAGTTGGACAGGCAGTGAATCAGACACAAGTACTACACCATCGCTCCCACACTACCGACGACCACGAAAGGTGGCCTTACCCGGCGGTGTCGTACCGGTCATGACAGGACAACACCCGGTACCGGTATTGGCACCGCCTACCCGTTATCTACCGCCAATCAATCGTCTCGAGCGCCTGTACGATGTGCCGCCTCGTGGCTATGAGCCAACCCATGCCCTCCCGGATCAGAGCCTATCCGGTGAAGTGCACGTCAGTAGCGGCGGTGAGTACAGCGGTTGGTTAGGAGGCCTGTGTCCCACCCGTACCGGTACGGCACGGCTGAGGGCCAAGACTGAGCACGATGTGGCCAAAGTACGTGAGTTGGGCTTTGATATTCGTATTGCCACCGGTATGGAGGTTGGCGAGGGAATGTTTAGCCAGGTGTTTCCCGGCACATACACCGCAAAGGTATATAATAAACCAAATGCTTAATTACATTGTATTAAATGCTAATTGTTTATGATTATAATAGATTGGAGAATTTCAAAGCACTAGACAGGGCAGGCGCCTGACTCATGTCAAGCCGGGACAAAGGTTTGCCGCGAAATACGCTCAGTTGGCCACCGGTTTCAATGCGCTTCCATACCTGTGCCATATCATCGAAAAGGCTGTGATGAAAGCGCTGAGCCATCCAAACATTATGGCCTACAGAGTAGTCATTAATATCGGCCAAAGAGTGATACTTCGCAATCTAGCGGGCAATCAATCGCCCGATCATATGGGCTATAGGCGGGTCTTTTTGATCATGGACTTTGCGGACCATGGTCATTTGCTCGATTTTGTCTACCAAGACAATAAACTCACTGATCAATTGACTGTGAGATTCACCGGCGAGTTGGGCTCAGGTATGTGTTACACGCAAAATTTTATTACAAACATTTAATAGTTTTAAAAATCAATTTTATATAATGTATAATATTAATTATATAATTTATTTTATAGCTTTGGGTTATATGCACGCCAATGGTGTGGCGCACAACGACTTGCACCACAAAAACATACTGGTGTTTAGCGCACCGGGCGGTCAGTATTCGGTCAAATTGATCGACTTTGGTCTAAGCGTATCGCCCGCCATTTACGGCCAATTGGGCGTAAATGTGCCCCAAAGTGAGTTCAATCAGAAAGTGAGCGCCGATTTAATCGAGCTCAGGACTGTTGTGAATTTTATGACGTTCAATTGCCGCAACAATCCGGGTAATGTGGCCGCGGATTTGAGCCAGGTGGAAAGTCTCTCAAACGAGTTGTTTACAATGCAAGAGCCGTTGTTGGATGCGCTCAAAAAGTATTCACATTTAAACCCATATTGTATCTAAGAGTGTGCTATGTATTTGATATGGGATATATTATCTAGTTATTTTAGTATTAGAGAAAAAGTATTAAAGTAAACAATTAAAAAAACATTTTTACATAATTTATTTGTTAATTTATTAATTTATAAAACAAAAAATACAAACTTATAATAAACTCGATTAACACAAAAAAGCAGATAATCAAAAGACATGTCCGACAGGTATGGGAACTAATGTGAGGGAAGACTACAACAAAGCGTTGACCCGTCGACCCCATCGAGTCCCGGCCAATGGTCACACATATCTCATACACCGGGTGCTAGTGATCATGATTTAAATGGTAATCATTGTATATCTCTGGAGCACATCCCGGAGCGGTTGCCGGGCGTCAGACAACTCATTGACCAAGTCGTCGAGATGTGTCAAATCGATGCCTTCGTTAATATAATTGGTGCTACATTTTCTTGTCATGTAATAAATGATCTGGGCCAGTTTTTTGAAATCATCGCGGGCCATATAATACAGATCCTGGGCAGAAATCACCACGCCCAATTAGCCATACACTGACCATAATACACTTAGACCAAAGTCAATTTATTTGAAATTAAACAGGTTTAAATGTATATTTATTAAGATGTGCTTGGAATGTAATGCTAAATACTCAAAGTAAAATTTCAATTAACAATCATAATCAATTTAAAATTTTCAAAATAATTAAATGCATAAAATTAATCCAAACAATCAGTGCTTAAACACTAGTCAAACACACAGACATGTCTGATACATATGGGAATCAACCGCATACACCACTGCCCGGCACCGGGCGATGGGTGCAGACATCTCAGCACACAGGCGTTGTCACTACACAACCAACAAGGGCTTGGCTGCCGCCCACACCTACCACTCCGTCCACATCTGCAGGACATCCCGGTGTCGGTCAGCAGTTATTTTCCTACAACAGTCCCAGTGTTGGTTCGGCTCAACCATCGCCCCCTCCCGGAGCTAAAACACCGGCCAGCGCTGCCACACCAACAAGTTTGCCATCTAATAGGCACCCGAGTTGGACAAGCAGTGAATCAGACACAAGTACTACACCATCGCTCCCAACTTACCGACGACCACGAAGGGTGGCCTTACCCGGCAGTGTCGCACCGGTCATGACAGGGCAACCCCCAGTGCCGGTATTGGCGCCCCCTACCCACTACTTACCGCCAATCAATCGTCTCGATCGCCAGTACGAAGTGGCGCCCCGCGGCTATGAGCCAACCCATGCCCTCCCGGATCAAAGCCTATCCGGCGAAGTGCACGTCAGTAGTGGCGGTGAGTACAGCGGTTGGTTGGGAGGTCTTTGTCCCACCCGTACCGGTACCGCACGGTTGAGGGCCAAGACTGAGCGCGATGTGGCCAAAGTACGTAAGTTGGGCTTTGATATTCGTATTGGCCATGGTAGGGAGATTGGCGAGGGAATGTTTAGCCAGGTATTTCCCGGCACTTACACCGCCAAGGTAAAGTTTTATATAATAAACCTAATGCTTAATTACATTGTATTTAATGCTAATTATTTATGATTATAATAGATACAAGAGTTGCAAAGCACCAGACAGGGCAGGCGCCTGACCGGTGTACAGCCGGGGCACAGGTTTGCCGCGAAATACGCTCAGTTGGCTACCGGTTTCAATGCGCTGCCATACCTGTGCCATATCATCGAGAAGGCTGTGATGAAAGCGCTGAGCCATCCAAACATTATGGCCCACAAAGTGGTCATTAATATCGGCCAACGAGTAATACTTCGCAATCTGGCGGGCAATCAATCGCCCGATTACATGGGCTATAGGCGGGTCTTTTTGATCATGGACTTTGCCGACCATGGCCATTTGCTCTACTTTGTCGACCAACACCGTAAACTCACCGATCAATTGACGGTGAGATTCACCGGCGAGTTGGGCTCAGGTATGTGTTACATTCAAAAACTTTAATTATGAACATTTAATAGATTTAAAAATTAATTTTAAATGTAATATTAATTATATCATTATTTTTTGGTAGCTTTGGGTTATATGCACGCCAATGGTGTGGCGCACAACGACTTGCACTACAAAAACATACTGGTGTTTAGCGCACCGGGCGGTCAGTATACGGCCAAATTGACCGACTTTGGTCTGAGCGTCTCGCCCGCCATTTACGGCCAATTGGGCGTAAATGTGCCCCAAAGTGAGTTCAATCAGAAAATGAGCGCCGATCTAATCGAGTTTAAGTATGTTGTAGATTTTATGGCTCACACTTGTCGCAACAATCCTGGTAATGTGGGCGCGGATTTGAGCCAGGTGAAAAGTCTTGCAAACGAGTTGGTCACACTGCAGGTGCCGTTATTGGATGCGGTCAAAAAGTATTCACATTTGAGCCCATATTGTATCTAAAAGTGTGCTATGTATTGGACACGGGATATATTATCTAGTTATTTTAGTATTAGAGAAAAAATAGTAAAGTAAACAATGAAAAAAAAACATTTTTACATCATTTATTTATCAATTGTATTAATTTATAAAACAAAACAAATCCAGAAAAATTAATAACACAAAAAATATAAACTTATAATCAATTTCTTGAAATCATCCCGGGCCATATAATACAGATTCTAGGGAGAAATCACCACGCCCTATTGGCCATACACTGACCATGACACACTCAGACCAGTCAATTTATTTGGCAAATTTGGAAAATTAAACAGGGTTGAGTGTATATTTATTTAAAAATGCTTGGGATGTAATGCTAAATACTCAAAGTAAAATTTTAGTTAACAATCATAATAAATTTAAAATTTTCAAATCAATTAAATGCATAAAATTAATCAATACAATTAGTGCTTAAACACAAGGCAAACACACAGACATGTCTGACACATATGGGAATCAACCGCAGACACCACTGCCCGGCACCGGGCGAAGGGTGCAGACATCTCAGCACAAGGGCGTTGTCACTACACAACCAACAAGTGTTTGGCTGCCGCCCACACCTACCACTCCGTCGACATATGCAGGACATCCCGGTATTGGTCAGCAGTTATTTTCCTACAACAATCCCAGTATTGGTTCGGCTCAACCATCGCTGACTCCCGGAGCTCAAACACCCGCCAGCGCTGTCACACCAACAAGTTTGCCATCTAATAGGCACCCGAGTTGGGCAGGCAGTGAATCAGACACAAGTCCTACCCCATCGCTTCCACTCTACCGACGACCACGAAGGGTGGCCCTACCCGGCAGTGTCGTACCGGTCATGACAGGGCAACACCCGGTGCCGGTATTGGCACCCCCTAACCCTTACCTACCGCCAATCAATCGTCTCGAAGGCCAGTACGAAGTGGCGCCCCGCGGCTATGAGCCAACACATGTGGTCCCGGATCAGAGCCTATCCGGTGAAGTGCACGTCAGTAGCGGCGATGAGTACAGCGGTTGGTTGGGAGGTCTGGTGCCCACCCGTACCGGTATGGCAGCGTTGAGGGCAAAGACTGAGCGCGATGTGGCCAAAGTACGTGAGTTGGGCTTTGATATTCATATTGGCACCGGTAGGGAGATTGGCGAGGGATCGTTTAGCCAGGTGTTTCCCGGCACTTACACCGCACAGGTATATAATCAACCCAACGCTTAATTACATTGTGTCTAATGCTAATTATGTATGATTATAATAGATACGAGAATTTCAAAGCACTAGACAGGGCAGGCGCCTGACCCAGGTACAGCCGGGGCAAAGGTTTGCCGCGAAATACGCGCAGTTGGCCACCGGTTACAATGCGATTTCATACCTGTGCCATATCATCGAGAAGGCTGTGATGAAAACGCTGAGCCATCCAAACATTATGGCCTACAAAGTGGTCATTAATATCGGCCAACGAGTAATACTTCGCAATCTAGCGGGCAATCAATCGCCCGATCATATGGGCTATAGGCGGGTCTTTTTGATCATGGACTTTGCCGACCATGGCCATTTGCTCCAGTTTGTCGACCAAGACAATAAACTCACCGATCAATTGACGGTGAGATTCACCGGCGAGTTGGGCTCAGGTATGTGTTACACTCAAAACCATTAATTATAAACATTTAATAGTTTTAAAAATTAATTTTAAATGTAATATTAATTATATAATTATTTGTTGGGTAGCTTTGGGTTATATGCACGCCAATGATGTCGCGCACAACGACTTGCACTACAAAAACATACTGGTGTTTAGCGCACCGGGCGGTCAGTATTCGGTCAAATTGATCGACTTTGGTCTGAGCATATCGCCCGCCATTTACGGCCAATTGGGCGTAAATGTGCCCCAAAGTGAGTTCTATGAGAAAGTGAGCGGCGATATATACCAACTCAGGACTGTTGTGAATTATATGACGTCCAATTGCCGCAACAATCCGGGTAATGTGGGCGCCGACTTGAGCCAGGTGGAAAGTTTTGCAAACGAGTTGTACACATTGTATGAGCCGTTGTTGGATGTGCTCAAAAGGTATACGCATTTGAGCCCATATTGTATCTAAGAGTGCGGCTGTTATGCTATATTGGATATTATCTAGTTATTCGAGTATTAGAGAAACAATAGGCAATTAAAATTTGAAGTAAACAATTGTTACTTGCATAATTAATTGTTTTAAAAAATTTTATATCTAATTTTTCTACATGAAATTGTTTTTAGAAAATCTTGTATCCAACGATGAATATGAAATAACATTTTAACCGATTAAATGTTAAATTATTAAAATTATTACAAATTTAACTGCACTTTAATTTATAGGAAACGCCCCATAATCTCTAATCCAATTGAACATGGCCCAGTATCTAAATTTAAAGCCAACTTTAATATTTAATTGCCATATTTAAAAATGAATATAATAAATAAATAAATTACGAGAAATATAATGTTTAATTTCAAAATTTGTTTATTAAAAATGTGCCATATACATTGTGTAAAAATGTAATGTAAAATGTAAAAATAAAAATGTACATCTGATTTTACAAATTATTTTTGTATATGAATGTTATTCATGTGTCGCGTTAAATGATATTTTGTGACAAACCGTTGATTACAGGGTCTATGAATACATTTATAGCTTTTTATATTCAGATGTCTTTTCATATGTACTCTGAGGTTAGATTTTGCAGAGAATCTTTTGTTACAATATTTGAAATGACAAACAAATGGTTTTTCTCCCGAATGTATGCGTTTGTGAGCAATTAAATTGGATTTTTGATGAAATTTTTTGCCACAATTTTCTTCATTACATTTGAATTTCCTTTCATTCAAATGAACACAACTTTTGTGGAGAAATAAAGACTGTTTTGT